TGTCTATACTCGACTCTCGCTGTTTCTGCTATGCTGGGGCCAGCACTACTGACCCATCCGAGTCGTTCTCGAGCCTGAAACGTTTGGCTGAGGGTTCAGCGGGCACTGCTGAGGGGCGCAGGAGCCTGAGGAGGAGTGCTAAATCTACGAACTCCCCTCGCCGCACTTTCTCCACCACTCTCGGCCACATGTGCAACACACAGGGGACGGGTGTGGGCATGTGGTGGAGATGCATGTACAGGCACGTCAGAGTCAAGCCTACCTCAGTACTACAGTAGTACCCGCCGAGTTCAGGTCTTGTGCGCAGGCGATATCAGCATCCGGCTCGCCAGAGTCGTCCCCGGAAATGGCTTCTCGGATGGAGGAGCGGATTAGCTCGCGGATCTCCTGGTGCTGCTGTTTGAAAACGACTCATGATAGGCTAGCTAGAAAATTCGCACAACACTGCTGATATTGCAAGCCAAGGTGCTCAAACCGTTGAAATTTGTTTGCATAGAAAGGTCTCGCTGCTGTTCTCTGCAAGCAAGGCTGCGAGTCCCACGCTGGCGCATGTGCCATTTTCCCACGCTTGGGGACGATGTACGATGACAGCCGGCGTTGCGGACTGCCTGCGAGGCGCTGGCCGCGAGTGCTTCTGTGGCATGATAACTTTGGTTTGCCCGTTGCAAACCTACATTAAATTTTAATTTCGCTGCATCACTGAACAAGTGGACACCCGAAGCAGGCTAGTAAAACGTATAGTGATGGGTTGAAATGGTTTAAAAATGCTTGGTATTGGTATTGTCCTACAGTACAGAAATGATTTCTTCAGATAACATTTATGCTCTCACCTTCATTGCTGAGGCAAAACACAGGATGCCACGCACGCCCTGGTGTTGCGCAATCAGCAGACATGTCTAGGACTTCGCACTTCTTCATACCAGCGATTAGCTGCTCAGCCTCAAGTCTCTTGCGCTGCAAGTCCAGGGTGATAACGATCTTGTGACAGCTCTTCAGCTCGTTGAGATCTGCCGTGCGCTGGTCAACGTGACTATGACGAACAGTATCGGCTGACCACCAACCATAGGTCACACTGCTGGACTCGGAGTTTCCTGACGCGGCACCATCGGCAGAACCAGCTATTGACGACGTCACGCCCATGAAGATGTTGTGCTGCGTCTGCCACTTCACTACAGCACTCCAGCAGTTCCTGCTTGCTCCGGTGAACGCACACTTAGACACCGCCACAGCTGTATTGCCCGCAACTTCGGCGAATGGGACGTGCGGATGATCATCTCCAGACGTGGTCAAGCATTGCAGTGTTATAGGTTCTTCGAAAACGCCCCGACTGGAAATAGAAACCCAGGGATAGCCGCTCCTTTCAGCAGTGGACGAATGTTGTTGTTGTTGTTGTAGAAGTTTATTTAACGTCGCACCACAAACAGGCGATTTCGCCTCCTTTGATACATGTGGACGACAGAAGGAATGAGAGAGAGGGGGGGGACAGAAGTATGGAGAGAGGAGGGTAGAAATAAATAAGCAATCAACCTCAGGGCTACACCAAAGCAAAAACGGAATGGGAACATACTATATACAAAATAGCTTCATACATATATTGCAAAACACGTTTACTATTCTTCAGTCCGCTATACCACAGAAACACACTAGCCGAAAAGCATTTAAACGGAGCCATGATGCGCTTTTAGCAGGGCACAGAACTGAAGGTGGCTGGGCTCGGAACGGAGATCAGGCGGGAGCTGGTTCCACAGGACTGCGCCGATGAACTGCATGGTCGCTCGACCCGCAGGACCGGGCCAAAATGGTACTCGAACGAGGTGATGTGCTGCTCCCCGAGTGCGGTCACCAGTAACTCTCACGAAGAAGCTGGTGAAGAGGGAGCTAGCTCGGGAGAACAGACAACGACGGACAAAGATGAGGAGCTTAATGTTAAACATGTCCTCCAGGGTGGTGAGGCGGAGCTGTTCAAAGATCGGGCTCGTGCGCGACCACGGTGGCAGACCGAAGAAGCCGCGGATAGCGCACTTCGTTAGACGTGTGAGGGGCTCCATGTTGCCAATTTGAAGTGACGGATAAAAGGCGTTGGAAGCGTACGACAACCTACCCTGGATCATCGACCTGTAAAACAGGATCTTTGACGCCAGGGTGAGGCTTCGGCGGCTCCGCCACAGCGCACCTACTGACTTCCGCACCTGCTGGATTGTGTGATTGACGTGAGGCTCCCAGGAGAGCTGCCCATCTACCATTACGCCCAGGTACCGCGCTTGTTCCACAACTGCAAGGGCTGCATTCCCACAGCGAATTCGAATGTTATCTGTGTCAGGGGCTGGGCCTCTTGGGGTAATCAACAGAGCTTGAATGAACAGGGTATCCACCTGGCTCCGTCAGAAAGACGTCACTCTCCCACACACCCGTTTCAGCATCGGCAGGTGACAAGCGTAGCCTTTGGTGATCTCCTGTTGGGAGCGTTATCGAGGCTTCAAAATCCTCCGGCACCTGTTTTGAGTACAAGACACCACCAGCATGATCACACAGCTATACAGGGTGAACTTGATTTTGAGATTAAAATCTTCAGATCCCGATTTTTTCACGAAATTCTTGATCCGTGACTGCACGACATCCACTACTGTGTGAAATACCCGTGCATCGGCTTTCAGAGTCGCACGAATACCATCCGTGCTCTTCTCAGCGATTGCAACACCCGACTTGCCGACCGACTGTGCTACGGGCATGTTATGGTCCTCGGGTGACAAACTAGCAGCCGCTTCAGCTAGACTGCCATGCAGCCGTACGACTTGAATGTCTGACGGCGTGATTGCCTTGCATGGCGGGGGCAGAGATTGCGTCAGTTTCTCACCAATGGCCTGTATGCTGCTTAGCGTATTTCGCTTGTTGTGAATACGCTGCTGTTCCTCCTCAAGGTTCTCTTGGGTTCTCCAGCGATGCTGATCTATCTCTGAGTATAAACGTTGCTCTTCTTCATCCAACATACATCGTAACTCCTTGAAATACTCCTTCACTTTCTCAGACGCTTCCTTCGCTTGCTGATCAACTTGCTTAGTGGCACTGGCCAAGTTCCTGAGGCGAAGGTCGAGCAGTTTAACATTCGACAAGCCAGCAATGGAAGACACACTCTCCAACAGCTCTTCCAGAGAGCGTCGCTTCTCTCCGCACACTTCCCTCGTGGACGCCACCACGTGACTATGTTCCAGATGTGACGAGGCGCACATGCCACAGGCCAGTCGATCGCATGTCTTGCAGTACAATGAAAGAAGTTGGCCGCCATGAATGCTGCACTTCAACACATCTCCTTCTTGGTCGCCAGCTACCGCAGCCATTATCTTGCCCTGCATATCTCCACAAGTGTATATCAGTGTGAAAGATGAGCTGATCACACACATAAGCCTGGTTGGAGGTGGAACCAAGCAACAAAACCACAAAACTAGAAACAGCCATAGCCGAAAAATAAGCCCCAGAGTAACTCCTGATGCAAGGCATAATAATAGGACTGTTGAAGCTGGTACTCAATCCACACATCAAATAACATTACACACATGTCAAAATAGAAGAATTTGGGGGGGGTAATTCCAGTGCGTTCTTGCTTCAGCCATGTGTGCACGCTCTCATTGTTTACTGTTGGCGAGCCCGGACTCTGCGGGGATGCATTGAGGCTCCCGACGACTGAGCGGCGCACTTTGGTATCATAGTTCGTAATATGCTTGGCAGGAGACAGAAGCTCTTGAACACAGCATCGAAATAATGTTCCGGAGACGCACCACCAGTACGGTGCCCATTGGCGAAGCGGGACGAGTCCACAGACTTGAGAAACTGGATGCCCGATTTGACTTCCTTCCACTCAGCCCATGATCACCATCTACTCAGCCCATGATCACCTTCCACTCAGCCCATGATCACCTTCCACTCAGCCCATGGCCATGATCACCATCTACTCAGCCCATGATCACCTTCCACTCAGCCCATGATCACCAGCCTCGACTATTCCGTGTATCTCAATTTTAAAACACTCATTTCCAGACAGTGCATGATGCAGGTCTGCCAGTTGCATGATGCATCCAATGCGTTGGGCAACAGCCAGTTGTTCTGCCCTAATAAGTCCCATGTATACGTTCCACTGTGGTGCACCACGCTATTTTTTCTTCAGCTCCTGCCCTGTGTGCTTCAGAGCTCTGAAGTTAGTTCCGTGTATTCAGTCAGTACAACTCAGCATCCACAGAAACGCTCCGCTTCATTGGTGTTATCATCATAACTCCTGTCACCACGTTCGCCTGCATCCGAAAGATCCTCGGTGTGCTGTTTAACCAACACCTGTCTTTCACAGCTCATATCACTATATCAGGCAATTGACTATTCGAGGCTCGGCTTCCTCCGGAAGGCCTCACGAGTGCTGGACTCCAGGTGCCGTGATGTTGTTGTTGTTGTTGTTGTTGTTGTTGTTTATTTTACCTCGCAGATTCTAACGGGCAAGTTGCCCAATAACAAGAAAGCGAAGGCAAAGAAAATAATAATACTAATAAAAGAAATAACCGGGGGCAGCAGAAAATGAAAAAGAGCTGTAAGAACTCAGATGGTGAGCCACGGAACAAATTTCCATGTTACAAATAATCGCTTTTAAAAGTAAAAAGAAAAGAGCGGGTGGTACAGCAGACTTCCTATTCTGAATTCCCTGAACGAAGCAGAGACATTAGCTGGGTACATGTCACTATTACACAGAAGAAAGAGAGGTACCTCGGTCGATATCAGTGGACGTGGACTACGAGTGGATGCGACATACGAGTGGATGCGACAGCAACAGTGACTGGAATAATGGGTGATACGTTGTGATCTACAAGGTCTTTTCCTACCGGTCCGGAAGTAGATCTACGGCATGCTCGTGTGGATGAGCGCTGCACCCACCACTATGGCTCGCCTTACTGCAATCCAACGCCGAATCATTATCTGGACGGTTAAGCAGATTATGCTCGGGAAATGACCAGATCATGCTCTAGCGGATGCTCACAGGATGCTCGAGAAAACAGCCGATTATGCTTATAATATTATATTCTTCACCAAAAGACCAAAAGAACAGAAAATCGTCATGAGAAAAGGACTCAGACCATTGTCATGATGTGGACTGGGAGCTTTGTGGAAGTACAAGACAATAATAATGCAAGAGAAATACCAAATTCACAAGCAAACGCTGAACTTTTGGGATATATCCTATAGTGGCTGCTAAAATATTATTCCAAATCGACAAGAAGCGCTATGTATGGTCCTTCAATAGCCGGTGTGTATATAACAGCCTCATTGGGCATCTGCCCTTGTTTTTCGGATGCCATTTTATGCTCCTTCTGAAAAAGGACCTGATTAGGTCAACAATTATGCCTTTAATAGCAGGTGTGTATAACAGCCTCATTGGGCATCTGCCCTTGTTTTTCGGATGCCATTTTATGCTCCTCCTCAAAACGGACCTGCTTATGCCCGGGGGACAATGGGACAAGTCACCCTGGCGCAAACTGTACAAACTGGACAAACTGCGATGAGCATCAAAGGAAGGGTGCAAGTTGTGCAGAGCTATGAAATTTAATGAAGGTTTCTTAGTTGCGAAGATGCAGAACTATTGAGAATTTTTGTTCTCTGCATCTTCTGACAGCTTGAGACACAGAGAATACACCGGTCCAAATAGTAACATTATTCTCGAAACACAGCATAGGCCGCAGAAAAGCTAAATAAAAAATTTAAATAAAAATTGCAGAAACCCAGAAATTGGCCTGCATATACACCCAGAAATTGGAAAGCGGATATCCATGTACTAAGTTTTGGAAAGAAACATTCACGGTCCGCATGAGACTCAGCTTGAGGCCCAGTTTTCCGCATCCGTAGGAACCCCACCACCCTCCGTGGATCAAGGCGCAGATGCAACTTCTAAAGATCCGAACGTTTTGCAAATTTATCTTTAAATATTGCTGTAGCGTTGAACAAGTGGACGCACTGAAGTAAGCTAGTAAAACGTTGTGTAGTGATGGATTTGAATGGTTTAAATTCTTGGTATCGGTATTGTCAGCACAGGGATGATTTCTTCAGATAACAGATATGCTCTCATCTTCATTGCTGAGGCAAAACACTGGATGCCACGCACGCCCTGGTGTTGCGCAATCAGCAGACATGTCCAGGACTTCACACTTCTTCATCCCAGCGATCAGCAGCTCCAGCCTCTTGCGCTGCAAGTCCAGGGTGATAACGATCTTGTCACCACTCTTCAGCTCGTTGAGATCTGCCGTGCGCTGGTCAACGTGACCATGACGAACAGTATTGGCTGACCACCAACCATAGGCTATACTGCTGGACTCAGAGTTTCCTGACGCTGCACCATCAGCAGAAGCAGCTATTGACGGTGCAACGCCCATGAAGATGTTGTGCTGCGTCTGCCACTTCACTTGAGCACTCCAGCAGTTCCTGCTTGCTCCGGAGAACGCACACTTAGACACTGCCACAGCTGTATTGCCCGCAACTTCGGCGAATGGAACGTGCGCATGATCATGTCCAGGTGTAGTCAAGGATTGCAGTGTTAAAGGGTCTGTGAAAACACGCTTGGTGGTCGTAGAAATCCAGGGATAGCGTGTCCTTTCAGCAGTGGACAAATGAATAGGGTATCCACCTGGCTCCGTCAGAAAGAGGTCACTCTCCCATACGCCTACTTTAGCAGCATCAGCTGACAGGCGTAGCCTTTGGAGATCTCCCGTTGGGAACATCATGGAGGCTTCAAAATCCTCCGGAACCTGCTTTGCGTGTAATACATTACCGGCATGATCACGCAGGGAGAACTTGAGTTTGTGCTTAAATTCTTCAGATCCCGGCTGTTTCCCCAAATTCTTGATCCGTGACTGCATGACATCCACTACTGTGTGAAATGCCCGTGCATCGGCTTTCAGAGTCGTCCGAATACCATCCGTGCTCTTCTCAGCTATTGTAACACCGAACTTGCCGACCAACTGTGCTACTGGAATATTAAGATCCTCGGGCGACAAAGTAGTAGCTGCTTCAGCTAGACTGCCATGCAGCAGCATGACGTGAATGTCTGACGGCGTGATTGCCTTGGATGGCTGGGGCAGAGATTGCGTCAGTTTCTCACCAATGGCCTTTATACTGCTTAGCGTGTTTCGCTTGTTGTGGATACGCTGCTGTTCATCCTCAAGGTGCTGCTGGGTTCGCCAGCGATGCTGATCTATCTCTGAGTATAAACGTTGCTCTTCTTCATCCAACACAGATCGTAACTCCTTGAAATACTCCTTCACTTTCTCAGACGCTTCTTCCGCTTGCTGATTAACTTGCTCAGTGGCAGTGGTCAAGTTCCTGAGACGAAGGTCGAGCAGTTTAACATCCGACAAGCCGGCAATGGAAGACACACTCTCCAACAGCTCTTCCACAGAGCATTGCTTCTCTCTGCACACTTTCCTCGTGGACGCCACCACGTGATCATGATCAAGATGCGACGAGCCGCACATGCCACAGGCCAGTCGATCGCATGTCTTGCAGTACAATGAAAGAAGTTGGCCGTGATGAATGCTGCACTTCAACCCACCTCCTTCTTGGTCGCCAGCTACCGCAGCTGTACCCGGTGCAGTAGCACCCGACGCCTCAGAGCTTTGACTATGGTACAGGAGACCAGCCGCTTTCACAAGCCGCTGATGTCCACCAAGCGGCATCCGAGTGATGCTCTCATCCGCAGCTTGGCTCTGTGTTGACTCAGTGACGGTGTTCCTTCCACACATCGTACAGCAGATACCACCAGTCAAGGGATTGATCTGGTCGCGCAAACAACTCTCGCAGAGGACATGCAGACAATCCAGCAACCGTCCGGACTCTGGCCGCTCCTCCTTGCAGCACACGCAAGCTGTCGCCGAATCTAACATTTTCGCCAGTAGAGCTACTCCACTAGATCTAACACTAGTAGATTAGAAAATAAGTTTAGTGGGAGGTGAAATACCGCCTGTACCAGTGGTGGTTTTGCACCACTCGTCAAACAGTCAAATTTTACAAAAACAAATTACTGGCGCAGTGTTGCTCAATGTACATGCTCGCGTTCATTCAGGAGAAGAAAAGAAAAGCAGTACGCCAGTAGATGGGTGAGTTTGATATGACCGTTGACGCGCTTGACAATGACTCTCCAAAAGTTTGTTTGACATCCTGTACTTGTCACAAAAGACTCGAGAACAATCGGACGAAAACGCACTTTTCCGGGAAAAGAATTTTGGATTTATTTTGACAGCCTGAGTTATTTCTCAAAGTGCGAAGACTCACTAGTGCACTACATGTAGCCATCCGCTCATACATCTTTACGACACACTCCAAACGGTGTCTGAGCTACATGTACTCCAATCACTAAAAACAAGAGTTCATAATCCCCCTAATACATGCAAATGTAAGTAGTAATAACGGCGATTATGGACTCTTGCTAAAAAAAGAGAGATAAGGCCACCTAGAATTAATTCGTTGTTTCGGGTCACTTCACTCATCCGCACCAGGGTCGGTCGGTCGGGTTTATTTTTTATTTTATTTTATTTTTTATTTTGGTTACATCCATGTGCATACATGTACATCGAATAGCTTTTGTCCATCTAGCCAGTCGATCAAATCTGACTGTAGTGTAGACAATCCAGCGCAGTCATCTGGTCATGGTCCCATCAGATCCAGGTCCCCTCCATGATCCAGGACCAGATCTTGGCCTCGCTGGCAAACGAGTCTGACGAGCAGCTCTCACCTTGAAAACTTCTGTAAATAGCGACAAGGTGGCGGAGCTGATGCTGTTTCCGTGGTTTCAGGACCGATTGCGGATCGGAGATAGAAGACAACGTCATCACCAAGCACCTGTCATTTGGCTAGCCATGACCATTGATGACTGCTTCTGAGGGCGATATCTGGACTGTTATTATTAGGGTCGCGTTTGTACATACTACATAGTCTAGTCTGTACATTTGCATCCACTATAAAAAAAAAAACATTTTGCGGTCGGGTGAAAAAAGACGGTCGGTCGGGTGACCCGAAACAACGAATTAATTCTGGATGGCCTAATCATTCGAATTTTCGGGCAAGGCCCATCTTCAGTCATTGCCATTCTACATACCGGTATCTGGACAGCTACATGTACATGTAGCTAGCTGTTCGACCTGGATAGGTCTCGATTAGGCTTTTCCCAAACCGGCCAGCCGAAAAATTCGCCGAAAACGAGATTTATCAAAAAATCGCTAAGCTTGTCGCCGATATGGAGGGTTCCTTTGAGAATCGCCGAAAATCTACCAAAATAATAAAATTTAAAGTGGAAGTGCATCGATTTTTCGAGTAGGGTCCAGAAGAAAGACAATTTGATATCGGTTCGAATGGTATATCTCTCGCTTCCATACGACAAGCCAAACTTGCCAAATCGCCAATTGTATACTCACGTTCCCATAGCGACCAGCGCAGTGATGACGTATGAAAGGCTTAGCTCCACCACAGAGAAGGTCGATCACTGCAGAAATTGGTCATTTTCAATTGTCTTACTGTATTCACGATGTGATAGAAGTGCTGCGTTCAATGCTGTTAGTGCCGTGAACTGTTTATCGGCCTTCTCCTGCATTTCCCTAGGCTGACTGTGCCTAGGAAACTGTTTCCTCTAGGAGAAGATGCTTGGTATTCGCCATCTCTCCTGAGACATTTTTAACATACTTTCAAACCTACGACATTATTTTCATTCGTCAATCTCCACCACCCGTCGTCTCACCTGGCTTCAGAAGGTTGCGAGAGATAGGAGAGTCGCCAGGAAGCATCACATCCATCTTCAGGAAGTGGAAAGAGCAAACGGCATGGTCCTTGGTTGGGGGAAATGCTGAACGTTTGATTTGTCCCAACCAAGATTTCAGCATTTTGTTCGTCACTATTTTCGCTTGTCTGCTGATGTCTCCGCACTCCAGCTTTCTCCTGTCGGTGTCACGTCCCAGGACACAACCGAGAGGACTACTAACAAACAGTTCACTACACTAACAGCATTGAACACAGCACTTCTTTCACTTCGTGAATACAATAAACCAATTGAAAATGACCAATTTCTGCAGTGGTCGACCTTCTCTGTGGTGGAGCTAAGCCTTTCATACGTCATCACTGCGCTGGTCGCTATGGCAACGTGAGTATACAATTGGCGATTTGGCAAGTTTGGCTTATCGTATGGAAGCGAGAGATATGCCATTCGAACCGAAATCAAATTACCTTTCTTCTGGACCCTACTCGAAAAATCGATGCACTTCCCCTATAATGTTGTTGCAAAGTGCGTTTACGAACGAATGATGTTGCTGCAAGAATGGCCGCGGCACGCGCCGCTCGGTACTAGAGTCGGTAGGCCTTTGCGGATAATGCCGGCAGAAAAATTGGCAGAATTCGGTACTTTTTCTGGTAGCTTGGTGCGGGTTGTCTCAGACTTTACTCCACAGACTGGAGGTACATCAACGCTTGCTTCTGAAAATTCTGTTTCGAAAAGACCAAACATTTGCCTCCCTTTGTCTTTATAAACTTGCTTCCACGCACCCTCTTCTTGCCCGACATCAGCAGCATCTTTGTATCCTTGTGCAAAAAATCTTCCTAGCCCAAGTCCCGAAACATATTGCCAAGTACAACTGGTTTGTTACCACTAGACCAACACGCAATGCCTTATCACTGCCCCGAGCTAGTTCCTCTCTGTTTTTGAAATCCCCTTTCTTCTCAGCATACTCCCTTTGGTCTAACCTGCCTACTAGCATTAAGACATGCCAGGATATCAGGAAATTCACAGTCCAGCTTTCCACACTGTCTCATCCGAAGTGATCCCATGTATTATTAATGTGCCTCCCTTTCTTTTTCTCTCCCTATCTCCTTTCCCTCTCTGACAGCATCTTTCTTTTTTTTCCCTTTTAGCTTGCCGTGGTTGGCTATCACCTGACCTCTCATGTTTATTGGCAGTCTTCGGACGGGCCAGGAGATGTTGAATAAATAAATAAATAAATAAATAAGTTTCATGCATGTTTGGTACGTGGATAAACAAATGGAGCAGAATTCGAGGAATTGCCCGCCATAAGGTTTGTATGGTTCTGCCAATTTCACTGCTTTTCGAGCACTATCCGCCAATGCCTACCGCTCGAGCTTTCTAGTTCAGTACTTGTAGTACTAGTGGTTGAGGTCGTGTGACTCGTGTCCTTTGATCTCCTCAACAAATATTAGCCATTTAGGGAGATGGTTTAGTGCTGGTAAAATACTACACTACAACGTACAGTCACTGTTGTGGCCAGTTCCATCTCCATTGTAGCAGAGCTGTATTTCCAATATCTCACCAATTTTGAAGCCAATATGCCAACAATTCCTTTAGCCGATTTTCCAATAATGATATTCCAATTTTGCAGCCGATTTCGAACAATCAGCTGATATTGCAGCCGAATCTGATGTATTCTTGAGCTGTAGCTGGGTGTTACAATAGCGCGTTACAATATGGGTAGATCTACATCGCATACCCGGTAATCATGATGATGTGCCCGATCTTGATTTTCTTGAAGTTCTTCTCACTCTATTACATGTAGAGGAGACGGTTTAAAATAGGAACGGTTTGAGAGCAAAATTGTGTAGACCCAAACCGATCATCAGCATGGATTGTTCACTCGAAAGATGTACATGTATGTTTGGTGAATAAGGAAGAAGACCAGACGAATTTCCTGCTACGCCTTGACAGATTATGCTAGCATAATTTTTCGCATAATTCCTACCAAAATCGAATAATCGCATAATTCGGGGCAAATTGCATACAAATCGCATTAAATTGGAATAATCCGCCTGTTCACATCAAATTCCATACAGTTGTACATGTTCTACAAGTACAGTAAAACCTGTAACTAAAGACCACCGTGACTAGCGACCAGCCTGGTACTACACACCACTTGGCCAGGCACGGACGGTCTCATATTCAAAATTCACTGTGACTAGCGACTACCTGCTGAACGCGACCAGCGACCGCCTTTTCTTGTCCCAAGGACGATTTTTGACCCGTAACTAGCGACCGCGATGTAGGAAATCAAAATTAATGTTGCTCGAAATTTTGCTGATTTTCCATGGTCCTGAAAGGAATCTTTCGGTACTACAGCTGAACAAATGAACGCAGGCCATTTTGACTGTGGAGTCCGTGTGGACTGCACTACACCTGTCAGAATTTCAAGCGCTGTCAAGAATAAACATGATATTGATAGGAAACGTCTTGGAGAGCGCATCGAAAGCGCTCTCTGCTCGATGTTACTACTCGGAGGAGAAACGAAGACTGAGCGGCTCTGTCACCCCAGTCGTACAAACGAATCGACGATGGCGTCAAGGAATCCATTAACAAAGCAGCACCGCCATGTCCTGATGCTGAAGGATCACGTTCAAGCAATCGAGAAGTCACAACAAGGATAGTCGGTACGATTGATCGCATGAACAAATTTGAAGCCCAGTGCAAAACGAAACTTCCACAGAGAACGTTTGACTCCTGGCTTCAGAAGTAGCAGCTGAATTTGATGTCTGCAAACTTCTTCTCTCTCTCTCTTTCTGTCTCTCTCCATCTCTCCGTCTTTCTCTCCAAGTGTTGTTTGACCTGAATTAAGAATGGCATTGCGCAAGTCCTGGGGAATTGTATTAGCTGCATATTGATATGCATATCATATAATGGGATCCATATATGGTCGCACGGTGCAAACCTCTAACTAAAGACCACTTGCTACTAAAGACCGCTTTTGCTGGCACCAAGGGGTGGTCGGTAGTCACAAGTTTTACTGTACACTGCTACACTGCCGCGGAGGCAGATGAGATCCCGGGATAGGGGAGAGAGAGAGAGAGATCAAGAAGAAGTAAGATCAAGAATCGGGCGCATCATTTATATGCGAGCAGTGTCTGCTCCAGCGCCGGGTGAGCCGGGTAATCCACCCGCTTGGACCCGGTTGAAAATATAGTACCGGGTCACCTGTGACCCGGCTGGTACTTTACACTTTCGAACTTTGAAAGGACTGACTACATGGCTTGTATGTGTCAGATACTACTTCTTTTTTCGTAATTTTCTAGTTCCTGTCCTCTCTTTTCTAAATGCGGCTTATCCATTCGCCTTTACCGTATTATCTCTAATATAAGCACAGTCTCCAATAAAAGCACGTCTCCAATAATAGAACACCTTGGGGCGGCATTCAAAAAATAAAGTGCTCAGTCTCCATTATAAGCACACTGTGTAAATTCATTATCTGTACCGGCGAAAAAAACCCTGAAATGTATGCGTCATACATGAATTTGGCATGGCAACATGCCTCTGAAATGAGGTTGAAATAATAATGGAACAGTCTCCAATAAAGGAACGTCTCCATTAATAGCACGGGGCGGAGGTACATTGAAAAAATAAAGGACCGTGCTTATATTAGAGATAATACGGTATATCATTGTGTACCCGGCTCCGACCCGGTTGAAATGGTTGCGCCCGGTACACGTGTACCCGGCTGTCCTACAATCCTAGAGCAGACACTGGCGAGATCCCTACCAATATCTGACGCAAGCAGGCCACGTCCGTTGCCTAGCCGTTAAATACCATGTAGCTAGCAGCAAGAGTCAATAACCCCATGGGGTAACTTGCCTTTCGACTTCTTCATTCCGACACCCAGTTTGTTATCAATATTTAAACTAAAGGCAAAGTTCTCAGTACAGTCTACAGTTCTACCTGGCACGGTACGCGGTGTGGAATGATCGCAGCCCCGCCCGTGCTACTGCATTCATCCTCCTGTTCATTCAGATCAGGTGAGATGTTACGTGTCACCCGCCGGCCAGTCACCATAGTCACGCGCGGTAGACCCACTAGGCGGTAGAAGTCTACGCGGTATGTTCACACATTTTGACCGCCCAGATACTCTTCGTGCTTCCTTTTCCTGGTCACGTCTGTGCATATCGAAATGCTCCTCTTTCTTGCTGGTTCACCTAAATCTGCGTGCTTTTCTGATAGGTCTGTATAATTGTAGTGAGCACGCGGTCTTGTGGTATTAGTAGTTCTGGAAGCAGCAATCCTCTGCAGCGGAGAAGTGTCCAGTCTCACAAGTCCTCTTAGCTATATTCCACATTGTTCTACCCGGTTTGTTCCACTTGCCTACAAACACTGCAGTTAGAGCCAGGAATTATGCAGAGGAGTCGAATGTTGAGGGGTGACTCCATACCACTCCAGGAAAAGTGGCACGTTTATCAAGTGCTCGAGCAATGCTGAAGTCTCAGGGAATTGAGTGGACTCGCGTGTCTGCTCTACTCGACCATTAGAATTTTCAGCCATTGGATGAACTCATGCCGTGGACTATGGCCACGAATAGTCGAATACCTCCTATCTCGAATATTCTGAATTTCCCCTACCCGACTCCTTCATGAACTCCAGTCACCGGTACTCCTAAGCTTCCATTTCTTCCGCCATGCAAACAGAAGGCAATGACTGCTACTGCGGACAATGGAGTACTTGAACAAGAAGAATGCCGGTAGATTATTGTTGCTGGTGACTGCACACCATGTAGACTATTATTAGGGAATTCATCGCGACTGTCACTTGGATACAGTCGCCGGCATCAGGTGAGAAAGCCGCAAGTGCAAGGCGGCATGGTTCGATACTAAAGCTACAAAAGTACAACACCCCCTATCCGGGCAGGTGGGGTCCGTGCACTGCTCGAAACTCAGAATTTCCCGTAAGTGACAACATACAATGTAGATCTACATGTTCATGTTCATGTATGTTCTAAGTTACGTGCAATTCCTAGTTACGTCATACTTAGTGCATGCATGTGGACACGTTTTATGCCAATCAATAGTTTTTGGAGCCCCCCTTTTCACTGCTAGGCCAATTTTTGTGAATCGAAAGAGGTCAGAAAGGTGCCCAGAAGACAGACATGGTAAGGGCACACGGATAAGAGGAGTTTTACAATAATAATAGTAAAACTCCTCTTATCTATGTACAATGTACTTGTATTGTGCCTCCCTGATTTGTTCACATACCTGCCAATCTTTACCAATCCCAGGTTGGGACAACAACTGGGTATCAAGTTAGTATCAACGGACTAAGTACAGTGCATTTCAAAACTATAGACGCGTAGGGTTTTTGAAATATTTCAAATTTGGCTGGAACTTTTTGAGAATAGTTTTCGGAATATTGCTCAGGATCGCTCCACAATTACTCTCATATAGTTTCTAAAGGATTGGATAACAGACGCCCAATTTGGAAAAATTTATGCACAAAGTGATCACAGATTTTATGTGGTATAGATGCTGGCATAACGGTTTTTGCCTAGGTACGCGTCTATAGTTTTGAAATGGACTGTAGTGGGGCAAAATTGAGCACAGTCACAGATGTGAATACAGGCTGCGGCATGCACCTGTTTCAAGTGATTTTGCTGTTCATTAGAGAGGTTGAGCACAACGAACTTTCGTTAGTTTTTTTCGTTATGATCGGAACGAAAAATTGCCAAAATTGCCAACGAAATTTAGTTTGGATATAGCGGAGCTGATGTAGACGTGGGTGGACTCGAAATGCTGTCAGTCGATTCTCTTTCCCTTTCGTTGTGTGCCTTGTGATCAGCGTATAATATTTTACACATACAGTAAATAGTGGATATAACGTGCCCCTTTGATTTTCGATAATTTATCACTATATCCGGTGCATCACTATAGCCGATTTGCATGTATGACTGACACATGGCACATGACTGTGCATGAAATGATGCGTACATGCTGGAAAAAGAATGAAAAGCAGCCGCGTGTACATGTGGCTGCTTACAGCATACAGGGAAGAATTTTCTCTCAATCACGTCTGCTGCCAGATGTATCCATGCAACAATGGATCAGTTTTGGAAGAAATGAACTAAATTTGAAGAACAATTGTTTTGTGATCATCACTCTTGATCAGTATATACGATATTTTCCTGTGCATTTGATATGGTTTGCTTCCTGAAGCCCATCACAATAAGCGATATATCGGTATAGCCGATAATAGTGTGTATAGTGATATTTTAGCTGTATTTTTTGTGATTTGATTTTGATTTTGGCGAGTTCTATCATTATAGCCGGTATATCGTTACACCCGGTCACTTTATAAACGATACTCACTGTACCGGTACATGTCTGTACATGTCGACATATAGGAAATGCTTACAGTGGAATTAGTCCTCCTTGTAGCTATATTAAAACTGCTGTCTCCAAAACATTTGTTTACAAATTTCGTTTGCTTTGTTAGTTGTGTTCAGCAAGCAGATCTGCAGAGTCGCTGAGCCGTTCGTTGTTTCCACGGAAACTATGGCGATCGTGATCCACTAGGCCACAGTTTCCAAAATCACTAAGCATCTTCTTCGTTTCAGGTTCTGCATCTGGCGTTAGCATTTTACAGGAAAGGGCTCTCTTCTGCTAAAGGGATTTTTCCTCTCAAAAGTAACAGCTTTCCTGTTCTCTTTAGTCCCATGTTGGCTTTTCGTTGCAGCGGGCTCCTGCTTTTCGCTCCTCAAACACTTTTAAAAACAGGTTAGCTCTCAGTCTGTCAGCGACGCATCCACATATCTCTCTATCTTTCTCATCACTGGCGAACTTCCTTTGCTTGGCGTTGATCTCCGACACATAGGTCTAAATAATGTGCGACGCCTTTCCTCTTAAATCTCAAAATTCAAGTGATCGAAAGAAAGCAGCTGTGTGTGTGTGTGTGTGTGTGCGCGCGCGTGTGTGTGCGTGTGTGTGTGTGTGTGTGTGTGTGTGCGTGTGTGTGTGTGTGGTCGGCCGCAGGGCGCATCGGTGGTGTACGAGTAATCAATTCAGAGACGTCTCCTCCAATGCCTCAGAATACACATGTATTCTGAACACTGCATTGATCTTGCGGCTCTATTTTAATCTGCAAAATTCATTGGATCAATTATGAATTTCTTTGTTATGCGCAACGCTCTCATTTAACAAATCCTCTCCTGACTTCAATGCCACAGCTCCAGTAAATCAGATCGTTGAAATGATCACAACTGTACTGTTGTATAGACATTTGCTCCATGGTGCTATTGCAATCACGACACCGCCGGGACTGACTTCATGGATATTGAATCTCTGAACTGCGCTCCGTCATTCCTGGATAGCAAATATGTCTCAAAATGAACAGTTCAATGGGGAATCTGCATGACAAAAAAAAACACTTGCAAGCAGCATATCCAATTAGCTATGGTATTGAATAAAGCATTCTCAGTTTGCAAGATGGAGGACTGAGAATTATTATGTTTTCTCTACATCTTCTGACAGCTTGAGATACATACATGTAAATCCAATAGTAACAATAGTATTCTCCAACCACATAAACGTGAAGAAATATGAAATCGAAACTGGAATGACAATAGAGAAACAGCAGAACACAGAAATTGGACTAGTGTACATATTTCTGAAAATAGAGAAAATGGATATCCATGGAGTGGGTATTAATGTTTCCAACGAACATTTTGTTAATTGTTGATGTCATTGTGCATACACTGAAGGAAGTCCAGACTGGTAAGATGTATACTGCATTTATGGTTTAAAAATAAATGTTATTTCTGGCCTCTTGGCATTGGTGTTGTCAGCACAGGAATGATTTCTTCACAGAGCATCTAGCATCTACATTCAGTAAAGAGACTTATATAGTTGAAACAGTTGTATGAAGGGATTCAGTACCAACGAAAGTGTCGCTTTGCTGGTGATGTACTGCGGCAGTGTCGTGTCGAGGTCGACTGGAGAGCGCAGTCATGGTGTGTTGGTTGATGAAAAATCTGTACAGGGCTGAATGCTTCTGCTTACCCCTTCATTTAAAATCAATGCTCTCGCCTTCATTGCTGAGGCAAAACACAGGATGCCATGCACGCCCTGGTGTTGCGCAATCAGCAGACATGTCCAGGACTTCGCACTTCTTCATACCAGCGGTCAGCAGCTCCAGCCTCTTGCGCTGTAAGTCCAGGGTGATAACGATCTTGTCCCCGCTCTTCAGCTCCTTGAAATCTGCAGTGCGCTGGTCAACGTGACCATGACGAACAGTATTGGCTGACCACCAACCATAGGCTATACTGCTGGACTTGGAGTTTCCTGACGCTGCACCATCAGCAGAAGCAGCTATTGATGACGTCACGCCCATGAAGATGTTGTGCTGCGTCTTCCACTTTACTCGAGCACTCCAGCAGTTCCTGCCTTCAGTGAACGCATGCTTAGACACCGCTGCAGCGTTATTGCCCGCAACTTCAGCGAATGGGACGTGCGCATGATCATGTCCAGGTGTAGTCAAGGATTGCAGTGTTAAAGGGTCTGTGAAAACAAGCTTAGTGGTCCTAGACATCCAGGGATAGCGACTCCCTTCAGGAGTGGACAAATGAACAGGGTATCCACCTGGCTCCGTCAGAAAGAGGTCACTCTCCCACACACCTACTTTAGCATCATCAGCTGACAAGCGTAGCCTTTGGAGATCTCCCGTTGGGAACATCATGGAGGCTTCAAAATCCTCCGGCACCTGTTTTGTGTGCAAGACACTACCAGCATGATCACGTAGGGTGAGCCTGAGTTTGCGGTTAAAATTTTCAGATCCCGGCTGTTTCCCCAAATTCTTGATCCGTGACTGCATGACATCCACTACTGTGTGGAATACCCATGCATCGGCTTTCAGAGTCGCACGAATACCATCCGTGCTCTTCTCAGCTATTGTAACACCCAACTTGCCGGCCAACTGTGCTACGGGCATGTTAAGGTCCTCGGGCGACAAAGTAGTAGCTGCTTCAGCTAGACTGCCATGCAGCAGCATGACTTGAATGTCCGACGGCGTGATTGCCTTGGATGGCTGGGGCAGAGATTGCGTCAGTTTCTCACCAATGGCCTGTATGCTGCTTAGCGTGTTGCGCTTGTTATGAATACGCTGCTGTTCCTCCTCAAGGTGCTGTTGCGTTGTCCAGCGATGCTGATCTATCTCTGAGTATAAACGTTGCTCTTCTTCATCCAACATAGATCGTAACTCCTTGAAATACTCCTTCACTTTCTCAGACGCTTCTTCCGCTTGCTGATTTACTTGCTCAGTGGCAGTGGTCAAGTTCATGAGGCGAAGGTCGAGCAGTTTAACATCCGACAAGCCGGCAATGGAAGACACACTCTCCAACAGCTCTTCCACAGAGCATCGCATTTCTCTGCACACTTCCCTCGTGGACGCCACCACGTGACCATGTTCAAGATGCGACGAGGCACACATGCCACAGGCCAGTCGATCGCACGTCTTGCAGTACAATGAAAGAAGTTGGCCGCCATGAATGCTGCACTTCAACCCACCTCCTTCTCGGTCGCCAGCTACCACAGCTGGCCCCAGTGCAGTAGCACCCGACGCCTCAGGACTTTGGCTAAGGTACAGGAGACCAGCCGCTTTCACAAGCCGCTGATGTCCACCAAGGGGCATCCGAGTGATGCTCTCATCCGCAGCTTGGCTCTGTATTGACTCAGTGACGGTGTTCCTTCCACACAGCATACAGCAGATACCACCAGTCAAGGGATTGATCTGGTCGCGCAAACAACTCTCGCAGAGGACATGCAGACAGTCCAGCAACCGTCCGGACTCGGGCCGCTCCTCCTTGCAGCACACGCAAGCTGTCGCCGAATCTAACATTCTCACCAGTAGATCTACTCCACTAGATCTAACAGTAGATTAGAACAAAAGGTTAGTGGGAGGTGAGCTACCGCCTGTACCAGTGGTGGTTTTGCAGCACTCGTCAAACAGTCAAATTTTACAAAAGCAATTACTAGCACAGTGCTGCTCAACGTACATGCTCGCGTTCATTCAGGTGAAGAAAAGAAATGCAGTACTGCCAGTAGATCTACGCCATGGCGCCAGTAGATGGTGAGTTTGATATGACCGTTGAGGCGCTACGGATTTTTTATACGTCGTTTTCGAGCAGTGAGCGTGAAATGTTCCGGAGTACGGAATTCCGGAACTGATGTGTTTGCCGTCATTGCCTAGGTTACGATCCCGAACACGTCACATTCCCGCGCTATGCCTTTTTATTTTGAAAATTTGTACCGAAATCAAAACTTCCCGCAGAAAATCCATGTTTCTCGTATCAAATTTGTACGCGAAAAATCTTTCTGCACCCGATGACGCAAAATCTCCATACGAAACATGGTTGGCTTGGCTTTAAAGTGGAGTTCCAAAACAGGCCTAAACCTAATGACAATGGTCCCACTGATGGTTCGTGTGAAAGCCAGTCCACACGGATTCTCCGTGCCGAAAAATCGTATGGAGCACGCCTGGAAAAAATCCATAGCGCCCACACGGATTTTGGCACGGAAAATCGTACCCCGGAACCTCTCAAAGTCACACCTTAGTGGATCCAAAATAGAAATCTGATGTCAACTTACCACTCCCAGGCGGTTTTTGACGTCATCACTTTCAAGCCCTATAGGGCTTGAAAGTGCTACGTCACTCCATAGCAATGGCATAGCAACAATTTGAAAAATTCGAAAACTGGATCCACCTGGATCCAGTTTTTGTATGGATCCAAGCACATTTCAAGCGGTCTCACTCACAGCAAGGTGCTGTTGCAAGTGAAACTGACTGATTTGGCTAGTGGGGGCGGGGTGACAACTGGTGGCGAAGTAAAAGTTGCACCTGCATACGACATGAGTGGGTTGCTATGCACCCACATACTGAGGCAATAGCAAAGTCACACCTTAGTGGATCCAAAATAGAAATCTGATGTCAATTTACTACTCCCAGGCCGTTTTTGACGTCATCACTTTCAAGCCCTATTGCAGTCGAATCTGATGTGTTCTTGAGCTGTAATTGGGTGTTACAATATGGGTAGATCTACATCGCATAATCATGATGATGTGTAGCCCTTTCCCAAAGATGCCATAGTTTTTCGCAACTTATGCTTTTCGCAACCGTGACAAAACAAGTGGACAAGAAGAAGAAAAGGTATCATCGCCTTTGGCTGGCCGACAAAGGAAATGTTCAACTCCACCAGCAGTACCGGAAGGTTCGAACTCAGGCAACGAACATGTATCGCCGTTGTAGGAATGAGTATTTCGCTCGTCAATGCCAAGAACATTCCAGAAACCCACGCCAGATTTGGAAAGTCATCAATACCGTCACCGGACGCGGGAAGCAGAAAACCGAACCAACCTGCAACATCGAAGAGGTAGCCAACGTGTTTCATGACATTGTGACGGATCCAAAGCGCCCATCATGCCTAGCCTCTCCAGTCGGCCCACTTCCATCGGATAGCCTGCACACGTTCCAGCCAGCCTCTTGTTCCGTAATCTACCGTCTACTTCAGTCCATTCATCGGAAACTGGCCCGCTGGCTTTTGAAAGTCGGATTTGGGCCGAATTGAGGATCAAAACCCACTTTAAATCTCAAAAATCTGGGTTTTAGATCTGCTTCTCCATACATTTTGCCATGGCATACCTGTCCTAATTTTCTAAAACCTGGCTGAATTTCTATTTCCCTGTTCTTGGACTTTTCTGGCCTCAAATGTGGCAAGGAGTAATTGCACGGGTCACACAATGCAGGATGTACTGTTGTTTTCACGATATCTACAACTATGTACGGGAGACACCCAAAAAGTTAGGGTGCCAGTTTCCAATGAATGGACTGTAAGTCAAGTCAACCCTGCGAAAGCAACGGGCAGCGCGGTGTCCCAGGATTCCTCCTGAAGTCCTGTGCTGAGGTCCTCACACCATCTGTCACCACACTCTTCAACCTGTCACTGAAATCTGGTGCAGTGCCTGCCGGCTTCAAGTTGGCGGCTGTAAGCCCGCTGTTTAACCTTTTAGCCACAGGAAAATTTCAAAATTCTGCATTTTTTCGTGTTCCTTGGATCATAGCTTCAGTTCTACTCACTCAATCCTCACAATCTAGGGCTTCCTGGAACGGTCTCCGCGAGAGGAAGAGAATGAGGTCGATCATGATAGCCAGCACACTGTCTATCCAGCGCTAGATCGCAGCGACAGTACGAAAAATGCCCCAAATGCGTCCAATTGCGTCCCGCTCCAGATACTCAGTATTTCATTTTACTCGATCGTGGAGTTCCAATTTTTTCGCTGTGTACTCTTGACAACATCAACAGTGAAACCCGTGCAAATTCGAGTAAACCAGCATGACGAAAAGTCTCAAAATTCTCAATACTAAAGTCGCACTGCGCGCTTTTGAAATTGCCGCGATCGCGGCTCAACTTACGAGTGATTTATCTCAGGAACCGTTGCTCGCAGCGCTTCGCGGATTGTTTCTCCCGACAGGTGAGAGTTTTCTCTTCGCCCTGGATATTTTGATCGATGGATTTGAGCGAGATTGGACTGAGTTCCGATCTTTTGAAGTTTTGCATTTGAATGCGTCGTTTACGACGCATTCAAGTATGGGGCGGCTCTTAAAGGGTTAAGGTGGGACACCACCTTCCAGGGGTCAAAAAATCAACTTTCGATTTGTCACCTTTTTGCTATTGAAAATCAAAGCATATGCCCTGAGGTGTCAGTATTCCAAATTTGAAGCGATTCGGACCAACCGTTGCAGTCATATGACCGTTTGAAATTTGAAAATATTTGAAAAATTTGTACACATCGATGTTCGTACACTAAAAAGTTGAAAAAAATTGTACACATCGCGATGCTCGTGCACTAAACGAGCTCACCGCCAGAGCTCTGAGGCAGGTCGCTCACAACGTGACAGTGGAACCCCACCTCCAGCCCGTCACCGGAGAGGCCTTCCGCCATCGCACAGCTGTCACGGAGGAGCAAGCTCGGCTGGACGTTGCGGCTAGTGGTGTGTGGGGTGGCCGATTCGAGCGCATCTTTATTGATGTACGGGTGTTCAACCCTTTTGCGTCTTCGAATCGTGCCACCTCCCTCGCTGCTAGCTACAGACGCCATGAACAGGAAAAGCGCCGGAAGTACGAGGAGCGAGTACGTGAAGTTGAGCATGCCTCCTTCGTGCCCGTTGTGCTCTCTGCCTCTGGTGGCTATGGCAAGCATGCCAATGCTCTTTTCACGCGCATCGCCTCTCTCCTGGCTGAGAAGAGTAAGGAGCCATACGGGCAGGTTATCTCCTTGCTGCGCTGCCGCCTTGGGTTTGCCCTGGTGCGTTGTGGTGCTATGTGCCTGCGTGGCTCAAGGAGCATGTTTGCTCCTGCCATGCCTGAGTCCCCTGCTGTGCTAGTGGCGGCGGAGGCACGCATCCAGTGAACCTGCACAGTGCAGTGATCCTACTGAGTGACAGACTCTGTAAATACTGTATCTGATGATTCGTTTTTTGTGTGTTGATTCTTCACAAAAAGTGTTATTTTGCCCGTACAAGAGGCTCAGTTTTCCGTGTGACAAAAAAAAAAAAAAACTAAACGAGCTGTCAAGAGATTGTGGCCGTGGAGTTTGGGAGTTTTGAAGCGCTTTTACTTCCAAATGTTGTTGCCATGGCAGCAGTGACCCGTGCCACGTGCAAAAAAAGTGCAAAACATTCTTTCCCAAAGGATTTCTTTGCTGTTGCAGTTTCGAGCGCGATGCACAATGGTAGGGTGTTCGGTGCCTCGAACCCAGGCGCATTTTGAGTGGAAACAGTTTTGTACGGGGTCCGTGGCACAATCGTACATCACTGTGCTTCTTGCCTTGGCAAGGTAAAATTTTAGCAGCTCAGGACGAGTTTGTTTCTTTGTTGGAAAGAGGAGATGTCTCTGCTGTTGAGACCGTAAGTCCCGTTTCCACACGACGAATTTTAGCAATGTTACGCCCTGCGCAACTTCAGGGTATCGATTTCGACCTGTTCTGGGCCGGTCGCAACGCCGGCGACTATTCCATCGTCTTCAGCGTCGAAAAACTACGCAGTGTGTGAAATTTGGAGGCTGTACGATGCTGTCTTCTTGTTCTATGAGCGATCGATTTGCGCCAGGATACCAAATGTATGGAGTACATGTACATGTACATGGAGTTGATGGACTTGGCTGTAGTGCTGTTTATTTGTAGTTTCGCTGAGCTACCACATCAGATAAACCTCTGGTCGCTGTATCTGGAGAGTGGAGAAAGCCATTGTGCAGACAAATTGGTCAAGAGCAGATTTCCTGCCAATACTGCGTTCAATATGCAGCTGAAAATCTGCACAGAATTGACACTCAGAGTCAGAGGATTTGCAAAATTGCAGCGCGCTAACGCAGTGCAGCTACGCAATGCCGTATGCACCGTGTCTTGAGTACATTGTCATCCACATAGCATGGGCAATGTAGGACCAGTGTATTTGTCGACTTTATAATTTACATCCAAATTACGCTTGCACAATCATCCGATAAATGAACTGTCTGTTGGTTGTGCGAATCGTATGAATGAATTACATGTGACGTGCGACACCAATTGCCCCGAAGTGCTGCACGCGCCGTATATGACTGGGAGCAAGTTGTCCTTCTAAAGCTGATGATTAGCAGGACTGCTGCTGCCTTGGCCTGGCTGAAGCTTACATCGTGTTGAAATGGTGCAGCATACCTGTTAATTGGCTGCATGCATCCGGTCCCGCGGCGCAACATGCCCGGGTGCGGGTGCCGTCTCGGCTGAGTGCGTATGTTATTTTCTTGGATGCTTCATCTACATGGGGTAGATAACTGTAATCTCCTCCTGGTGATGTGTCTTTGTAGTACCCGTATTCCAATTAGCTTCAGCCTGTGAAGGGTTACATCTTTCGCATCTATTTCGACTAATTTGTACGCGTTGCTATGGTGGTTGCTATGGGCGTAATTTGAATTTGGCTAATTGGAATACCAAAAAAATTGGTCAAGTGATGGAAGCTCTCTATT